AATTGTTTACATGAGCAACTCAACATACTCTACAGAATCGACTGCATCAGAGTTTCTCCACACGGAGTTGGGTTCAGTTTCCAAAAACCGAATTTCTAGAGATTCATTGAGGAAAGCTCTAATGACTGAAATGGATATCAGATTCGTGATCAGCGTCAAAAGTTACACCTGATCAAATATGCTTTAAGAAGAAAAAGATTGGACTTTTGGGGTAGCTTTCTGGTTAGTGCGTCAGATCACCCATCCGACAGTATACTCACTATGTACAGTTCCTCCGATTAGTCTCTTTCTGGAAAAACTAGTACCTGGCTAGTGAGTGGATGTAGGGACCTCAAGCAGTTGCGCAAAGGCTTTTTCTAGTCAGAGCTCCAGATGATGAAGTAACTCTCTGGATGACCATGTCAGATGTAGGGAAGGTATTAGGCTATTGAAGCTGGTACTATCAGCACTTGTACCTGCTATCGTAATATAGGATATTCTTCTTCCTTCCTCTAGAGCATATAGACTTTAAGATTTTTTAACAATGAAAGATCCTCTATTTCATCAATTGTTAGACAATATTTGTTCACACATACTTATTGACGTGTACTACGACTATTTTTTTATGTATACTTTCTTAGAACGTTGAAATAATCTGTAAAAGATACCGTGTGCTGGATCCTTGCCCTCTCAATATGTTCAGCTACTAAGACTAAGGGAAAGGAAGGTTGTAGATGTCAATGATGAACTCGTTAAACTCGTTTTCACTGCAGTTTAGAAATTGTTAATAATCGAGGCAAATATCCAATGATTCCTCTTTTGTTGCTGCTATTTGTCAGATCGTCTCTAATATCTAAATATACTCTAAATATTACAACAAAATTAACAAGAATCAACAAACAGAAGAGATCATATCTCGTTATAACGTCTCCGTTTAGATGATGATTTTAACATATTAGAAAAACTAGACATTAAAATATCAGAAAAAAGAACATATTTTTTTTTGTAGAAGTCTTGCTCATCGACGCGTCAAATTACAAACATGGATTATTTTCCTATCAGATAAAAAGAAGAACAAGAAAATATATCTTTATTCTTCCTAATCAAAAACGCAAATCACTTCGCTTCGTTGACAACTTGAATATTAACGAGGAATGAAACTCAAAATATGAAAAATGTTAATTAAGACGAAATTAAGAAGATAATCCTTAGAAGAAGAACAAAAATAAATGTATATTTCAAATCTGTCAGTTCAAAAATAAAATAATACTATATTTCCGTCTGTTTTTGTGTCCATTTATTACTATCAAAATTTGTTATCTTGTATACTGATTTGTCAGAAAAAAAAGAGAGAAGAGTATTGAATTCTAATCAATTTTTTTTAGGTTCAGGCCTAGATCAAAATGCAGGATCATCAAAAATTCTTGATCAATTATCATTTCTTAGAACAATAAGAGAAAAGAAAACAATGGGCATATCTTTTGTTGAACTTTTTTATTTCATATATTTGTCACTATTTCGTTAACTAAACATTAAACTGCCACAGGTATGACATACTAAACGATCATAATATATATGACTTTCGATCTCACTGATATATTAGGCACTTGAAACTCTCGTCTTAACAACAAAACGCAGTCAGTAAACGTCAGTGCGAGTATTGGTGGTGTTCAACATCGACTATCATGTACACCTCGTTCATCTGAACATCATGTTCATATTTCGAATCATCGACGTTCCAGTCGTACCCGTAAATATTCTCATGAACCTCAACATATAATGTCATCATCATCACATGAACATTCCCGTCCGTCTATACCCGTTTGTCCAACGCCCAAAACCAGTCATACAAAACGTGCATCATCTACTGAAGGAATTTTATTTGGACCACTCAAAAAAGATACATCAAGCGGTTTTAATTATCAAAGTTTAACTGAATCACCATTGAATGTGCCAAAAACAAAACCAGTTCGATCTCATAGTTCGACAAATGCTGAATTATCCTATCATTTCAATAACAACAAAGCTCTTCCGGATGAAAAATTATTAATTTCAGGATCAGCTTTAAAAATTGAATGTGATGTCAATGGAGTAGATTCGGTAGCGTTACCGTTGACATGGAAACCAACACATCAAGTAACATTTCAACGAGATTCATGGGATCACAAAATTGAATTTCTTCTTGCAGTTATCGGCTATGCCGTTGATTTAGGTAAGAAGAAACAGTTGAGAGAATTTTTGATAATTTACAATTTTTTATTTAAGAAAGTCAATTTCATATTCAAGTTTCTTTTTTTTTAAATTTTTTGTTCACTATCATTGGATCTATGCGTATATAAAATATCGATTTTATTTTTTTAGGTAATGTTTGGCGTTTTCCAACAGCCGTTTATATGAATGGTGGTGGAGCCTTTTTTATTCCTTACTTTCTTTTATTAATCTTTGGTGGATTACCTTTATTCTAGTATGTAAATATGACTTGTAACACTTGATAATCTTTTAAATTCACTGCTATATTTCTAGTATGGAACTAGCACTTGGTCAATATCATCGATCGGGTGTCTTCACTGTTTGGAAACATGTAAGTTCTATTTTAATTTCAACATATTTTAGAATATATTTTTTTTAAATTTTTAGATATGTCCACTAGTTAAAGGTAAATTGTCAAAAATGATACTCTGACGTGATATAAAAATTTTCTCTTGTTTATTTTACATTTAATGATATTTTAACTATGATTTGATCAATTATAGGTGTAGGCTGGGCAACGGTGATCATCAATTTTATGATGGCAATGTTTTATAATACAATAATATCATGGGCATTTTATTATTTAATCATGTCATTCAATGGTTTAGTTACCGAAGTTCCATGGAAAAGCTGTGGACATCCGTGGAATTCAAATTGTTGTGTAGCAGCCGATGCACAAACGTATGAATATCAAAGATTGGTCAACTTAACAATAAACGGAAGTCGAAGTAGTGATGCTAATTGTACCAGATTGGTTTATTCAACTGAAGAATTTTTCTAGTAAGTCATATATATCTATATATATTTCTTATCTTAAAAAAACTAACAATTATACTACTATATCGTATATGTCAAATATAAATTGTAGTAGACGAGTTCAAGAAATTGATAAAGCAAAGTCATTTGATAATCTTGGAACGGTGAAATGGGAATTAGCATTATGTCTATTGGTAGTATTTATCTTTGTTTATTTTGCTTTATGGAAAGGAATTAAGAGTTCAGGAAAAGTGCGTATTATCACTTATACGTTCATAATAGTAAATAATCGTTATAAATAATGTTATTTATAGGCTGTATGGATAACAGCTATTGCACCATATGTTGTCCTCATAGTTTTACTAATTCGTGGTGTAACATTGCCCGGTGCGTCAATGGGTATTGAATATTATCTTAAACCGAATATGACATCGTTGAAAAGTTTTCCCGTATGTTTATCATTTTGTTTTTTTCTTTTTCTAAGAATAATAATTACTATGTTTCATTTATGAAGATTTGGAATGCTGCAGCAACGCAAATATTTTTCTCATTGGGACCTGGATTTGGCGTTCTATTAGCACTATCTTCGTACAATAAATTTCATAATAACTGTTACAGGTTTAATAATAAATCGATGTAATATTCACAATCATCAAAATTGTTTTCTTTGTATAGAGATGCTCTTGTAACCAGTACAATCAATTGTGCCACATCGGTACTAGCTGGATTTGTTGTTTTTTCTACATTAGGTCATATGGCTCATGTATCAAAAAAAACATTGGAAGAAGTTATTGAAGATAAAGGTTCGTCTCCTCATTATATATGCACGCTTAACAATAGATAAATATATTTAGGTTCTGAGCTAGTATTTATCGTTTATCCTCATACGATAGCTTTGATGAATGGTGCAACAATTTGGGCTATACTTTTCTTCTTTATGCTAATAACTCTCGGAATCGATAGTACAGTAAGTTTGATGATTACAACAAAAATACTAACTGTAAAGTAAAAACATGTTCATCAAAAATACAGTTATTTACTTTTAATTTCAGTTTGGCGGGTTGGAATCAATTATTACTGGATTGTGTGATGAATTTCCCAGATTTGGTCGAAATCGTCCCTATTTTGTATTTGGAGTTTTGGTTATATGGTGAATATATCTGACATTTTTGAAAGATTTAACGTTGATTTATATCGCTTTATCTTTAGTTATCTTGGTGCTTTACCAACATGTACATATGTAAGAAAAAAATCACAAATGTGTATAATAAAATGTTAGATAGTAAGGTTTCACTATTATTTTTTATTTTTATTAATAGGGCGGAGATTATATTGTAAACTTGATGAATGAAATTGCTGTTGCACCCGCATTACTATTAGTGGTATTTGTCGAAAGTATCGCTGTGTCATGGTTTTATGGTAATGCATCTAATATCATTAGAATCATTTCTATTTAATCGTTCAATTTATTGAATTTTGTTTCCTATTTTCTTATAGGAGTTAACCGATTTTCATTGGATATTAAAGCAATGATTGGTACTAGACCATCTTTATTCTGGCGTTCAATATGGTATTTAATTAGTCCAGTATTTTTATTAGTAAGTTATTAATTATTAGAAAAATTCTAAATATATATCTTTCAATAAATTGTGTTTGTTTTCTTTATTCTAAAGATGATATTTTATATATCAATGGATAATTATTTATCTGGTGATATTACAATTAAAAAAGTTGCATTGAAAAATTTACCATTAAGAGTTCGAGTATTTTCAAATTTAATGGTATTTGTTCCCATATTATGTATTCCAGCTTATGCCATTTACAAATTAATTATCACACCAGGAAGAAATTTTGATGAGGTATTATTTTATTATTTTTTAATTTAAAAAATTTTCAAATTGATACTAAGAATCTAGCATAAAATATGCGAGCTATTCTTTTTGAGTAATCCATGAACTGAAAATATTATTTTATTTTAGCGTTTGAGTAGAGCCGTTCGTCCAGAAGAGCCTCTATTGAAAATAGTAAGTTCAAGAGCAGCGCCAAGTGGATCTATAGCAGAAAAAGTGGATCTCTAGTTAGTTCCCGCACAATTTATTATAATTGTTTGTCAATGGTAAAATTGAATCGTATTAGATGTGACAATCTCTATTTTATATTAAAACTTACTTATAGTCGTCAAAAAATTGAAAACAAAAATTTTTTTCTTATATTTTGTGTCGAAACATGTGTGTATAAGTAAAAATACTTGACTATTAATATGTTCATATTTTTGTCCTTTACAATTAAAGCAAACTTTTTCCAAATGTTAAAATACCTAACATAATATAAAGAATGTATAATGGTCATATCTGAAAATATAACATCATTAATGTTTATTAAAACAAGCCATTATGATATTTATCATCAGTCCCTCTTCTTTTAGCACCAAAAAACTTCAGGATGACAATGTAACTTCTTTAAAACAATAGAAAAGACTTTTTAACATCAAAGGTTTTATTACTTACATCAGATACATCTTCAAAATTGTTGCCTACTAAACAAACGGTAAAAAAATAGTTAAATATATAAATATGAAGTTTTGTTTATTCTTACAAATAATAATTCGTGCCAGTATTGATTTTGTGTTTTGATAGTTTAAGTTTCAGAATGATATAATAGGAATTTATATTCTCTATTTCGTTCTGGTTCAATATTAAAAGCTTAAATCAATATGACACTAATACAAAAATAAAACGTCTGTACACTGATAAGAAAATCTCTCGATGTATCCTCTGACTAAAAGAAATTGGTAATAGTCTCATTTTATAGAGAACATCAAACTATCAAATATTCACAAAGTTTCTACGACTTATGATCGAAGTCTAGAAGAGTTATGAAAAATTCATCAATTCTAAAATTATTCGCATCTTTTATAACTATACTAGAATTTGACTATAAGTTGTAGAAACTTTGTGAGCATTGATAACGTGATGTTTTCTACAGAGTGAGTCCGTCTCAGTCGACTTTTAAAACAGTTCCTTGTAGCTTTCTAAAGCTTCTGAAATATAAAAAAAATAACACATCGGTAGCATTGGATATCAAATTAATAATCAATATCTAATAATCTATGAAGAAATTGTGTTTCATCAACAGACAAGATGACATCTCGAAAGCTTTCATTATGACAAAAATAAACGGTGACCATAGATACTATTGGAAGAAATAAAATAAAGACAATATTCAAGTCAATTTTTTACTATAAATATTAGAAAGACAATGACAAGATCGTGCTCTAATCAAATAAAGATGTGAAAAGTAAAAATTAAGCAACAACGATAATTACGAATGTTGAATAAACAAAAGAGAACATTCGATTAATATGTTAATTTACAGTATGTACATCTAACAATACTCAAGGTCATTTATTCTATCATTTATTTTAATTTAAAAAAAAACTAAATTAAAATTTTTTCAGATCTCTATTTAAACTGACTATCGATATGGTATACAAGAGAAAAAAGTGATATATTTAGATAATGATAATCTAGGCAATAGACTTATCTAATGATTAGTTTACAACTTGTTTGAAAACACACACATATATATATATATACACAACCAAACAATGATATAACATGTTTTCCGAAATGTAAAAAACATTTCTCAACAAAAACATCAGATTATAGACGATCTAAGGTTCATATCAACAATACAAAAATAAATTATAAGTTATGTACTCATTCTCCTCTCATCTGACTATAAAAATAACTAACCATTATAAATAAATTCTTTTGCATCTAAAAGTCATAAAAAGATCAAAATAAACAAAGTGGCAAAAGATGAACAATTTGTTTGTCAGATATTTTTCATTCAAAAAATTCAAAAAGTTTTTTTGAACTGATGACTAAAAAAAATTCATTAGTTTTTTTCTCTTACAAAATAAAAGTTTAGTTAATTCTATGACGATATTGATGAGAATTAACTAACAAGGAATAAGGCTATTTCTTGCAATTAATTTTTATCTCATTTTAGTTAGCGTAAAGAGAATTAACTTGGCCAAATTCGATTGAATACGTTGATGAATTTATGATAAATCATAAATCTATACATAATTATGAATAGTTTTCATATAGCAAATAATAGTAAAACAATTCATATAATTGTGACATCAGCACAAACACGACCGAGATGCGAAACGGTTCTTTGATAGAAACGTAGAGAAAAATTATTATTATATGTGTGAAGTTTAATAGAGTAAATTATCGTACGTTCTTAGTCCTTCATGTTTCATAATTTAACAGTATAATTAAATGTTTCCTTATATTTCGATGCTTCCAAACTCTTAAAAAATTAAATTTTTGAAATGCAAGATTAATGAATAAGAAATTTTTAAACTTTGTTTTGAGTCAACCAAATTATCGAAGCAGTCACTTACTTGCGTGAGCATTTTGACAACGTCAAGCGATGTATTTTCAAATACAATTGCAGCATCAGCAATAAGACCCATAATGCTCTTTATAAGCATTGCTTTTAAATTATAATATTTTCTTTTGAAAAGAGAAAAACTAATGTCAACGTGTAAACAACAAACATGCGTTCTGTATGAGTTATCTCTCGAACACTGTGAAAAAAAAGACACGGTATGCTGGTTTTACTATATTTTTACCATGAATAAGTTTCATTTTAACTGTTTCTATTGGAGTAACAGCAATACATGCCTTCATCCAGTTGTTATTATGTTTTGACGTATTCTGTTAGAAATGTAATACATATTTCAATGCCACCAGTTATACCACCTGAAAAGTATTTAAATTTAGAAAAATAATTTTACTCCTCTGCAAGAGTTACTTTTGTACTTGTAAAGAGTACACAGCTTACACGTCTTTGATCCTACGACTGCAAGCTTGTAAAATTTAACATTTATTGTATACGTGTAACTCACCACCAATGATACCTTTCAAACCTCCAGTGGTTTGGACGGTGGATGCTGAGTTTAACGATGATCTGATTGTGAGGCGAATCGCGATATCTGAGAGTCATATCTTTTGGGCATTATTAGTAAAAATTATAAACAATGGTGAAATTGAACAAAAAAAATTTGAAAAATCTGAAAATAAGAATAATGGTTATTCTTAGAAATAAAATGCAACTTTGTTAGAAAAAAGACAAATTACTCCTGAAACATAGGTTGTATTAGTAAAGAAAAAGAATTTCCAGTGAACGAGATATCTGATTGATTAGATTGTACTTGAAGTAATAGTAAAGCGCTAACTAAAAGAATTTTTCGTGATAACGTTTGACACAGTGTTATGCCTGATGATCAATTTGATTCGCTTGTACTTCTCGTTTTCCATCTATTGCATTCGTATAAATTTCTAAGATACAATCGTGCAACAATCTAACATTCCATTTCCAATAACAAGTAAGAAGCAGTTTTACAAAATACTGCAGGGAAAAGTCTATAGATGGAAATTCTTACGATGAACGTCATTCGATCTTTTTTTTGGTAAATAATATCCATAAGAATATATTATATTATCTTTATCTTGCAATCTTTTTTTTCATAAATATATGCAGTGTTTTCTTTGTTTTCCCCTAGCTGTGAAGCTTTTCCGTCCAAGGTGGCCATCATCAAACTTTAAAAGAACAGCGGAGAGTTAAATTTAATTTATTAGTTACGGAATTATGGATTCGTCATGAATTTTGAGACCTCATACTACGAGGAATATTTTTTATTTTTCCTTGAGTTCTGTGTGTGTCAGCGGGAATTGTCTTTTTCGGATCTGGTAAAGAGACTTTTTCACTGATGATACTAAAACATTTTTTTAGATGTCAAATCAAGCTTATAGTACGTCTAGAGATGCCACTGGTCAACAAAATCTTGACCGGTCGGTAACCGGTGAACATGTGCAGACCGGTCGGCTGACTGGCCATTTTTTAAAAAATATGACCATTGAACGCCATTTTGCTTTCTGTTCGATATAAATATGCTTTTTTCTGTCATCTTTTCTAGTTATAAGTCAAGTCGACCGGTCCCGGTCCATCCGTTTGACCAAAATCGGTCCAAACGGTCGGTTATAAGTTTCGACCGGACCGGAAACGGGCGCCCGATCCAGTTGCATCTCTGAGTACGTCTCTTGTCCTTAAGTATCAGAAGTTCGTCGTTGACACTCTTAGATTTCCTACTCGTAGTAAAGAGGCGTATGAGTTTGTTTTATATTTTCATTTACCGTTTTCTTGTTTCAGATTAAGAATTGAAAAGATTGAGGAGTATTCGGTATCGGCAAAAACTCGATCAACGTGTTGCATCTCTAATTGTATGTCCGTCTGAAACAGCTCATGCAGGTAATAAAAAGTGAATGAAAAGATAGCACATATGACGAGAAAAGTTTTATCATTCCGTTTAGTTTCGTGTTTGTATGACGTTGAAAAAATGAAGCTTAGTCATATAATGGTAACTGGAACAATAATGATAACTTATACGATGATCATATTTCCCAACAGTGTATTCTCTTTTTACTGATGGATATCCGAAGTTTCTACATGATTTTCTTTATTTGAATTTGTGCTACTGTCCATTTCAAAATAGAATGTACTCGGTTGCTTGTTGAATAACTCGGGAACGCTGATAGCTATCGAGTTCGAATTTTTACCATTAGAAAGAAGATGATTTTCTGGGGATTCTCCAGAAGTCTGGAAAACCATTGACTAGTTTCGTTGATCAGATCATTCTCAATTTCAATTTACCCATTTGGTAAGCGAATGTCTACTCTATAAACCCTGAAAGTTTCAGATTTTTCTGATCCTCCGTGCAGGTGCTAGCCTTGACTCACTAAGATCCCGAAAAGCCAGTTTTGAGTCCGAAACCTCGGCTCCCGCCACAGCACATGGGCTAACCCTAGAATTCATAAATTTTCGACCACTCTGAATCGCTCGGCTCAATGTTTTCTTTGGCTGGAGTTAAACCAAGATCAGTGAGTTTTAAAGTGTGACCTGGCTTCCAATGAGGTGGTTTGAACTCGGTAGCTATCAGCGTTCCCGAGTTATTCAAC